TAGCTAAATATTTTTGAAAAGCATATTGGAAAGATTATTCTCGGTAAAAAAAGTCGACTTGTTGTTATTATCGTTCTTTAATAAACACATATAATATTGTTTAGGTCTTTTCTTTACTGCATGTTACAAAAAAAATACCTATATTGCATTTATTTTTTGGTATATGTACCCAGTCAGCAGGTCTACTCTAAAGTCCAATCTCAATATCGATTTCAATCCAAGCCATCTCTGTCTGTACTGTTCTTTTGAAACATAATCAAGATTAAATGGAATACATCAATAACAATGTCAATTAGTTCTTTGATTGAGTATGAAACACGGAATAAATACGTTATTAGTGTTTATTTTAAGATTGAAAACTGTGTGAAACTGCACAGGCCAATGTCATTGGATCGCAATTAGTTTCGGTTAGATTAGACCGACATGACAATGTTTGCGTGATCAATTTTTGAAAATCTAAAACCCATTTAGTTTATATCCCCATATAAAAAAAAATATTGAAAAACTTGTCATTCTATTGTTCTGTCTATCTCGTTATCATTTTATTATAGTATACACGTGCAAAGCCGGGATGGGCAATTAGTTTGGAATAAATATATCTATCTAGCTTCCATATTACCACAACTATTTTACCACAAAATGAGACATAAATCGTTACACGCATCAATATGGCGCCCGAAATATACTTACGTCGTAAAATTATAGAATTAGGTGAGCTATAAATCAAATTTCGAATACGCCTTCCAACTGAAGAATGTAACACAACATGCGTAGATGCATATGAATGTATTTCCTTACGCCCATAGAACGTAACCGGTGTGGTAACAAAAATCTTGCTATAACTTTTAATTATTTTTATATGTAATCTATTATGAAATTATATCAAAAATAATTTATTCATATAGGAATTATAGCCGATTATGAACGTCAAGTTTTTGTAGATTGATAAAGATTTTGTTCAGTGTACAGATTAAATTGAAAGAAACTGGCAAGAAACTCAACTAATTAATTAACTCAATTTCATTTTAAAAAAATCTGTTGATTTACATTGCACGCTTGTATATTATAGGTCTGTATAACATTAAATAAAAATTCCGTGCATGAACAAGTATTGCCATGCACGTTTGTCATTGAAGTTATCATTTAATAAATTAATAGAACAGAATTTATTTTTATACCTAATAGATAAACTATTTTGTAAACAATTTAAAAAATTCCGTCGCACTTATTTCATAGTTATTACTACTTTCAACGTTATTTTCACATTTATTATAACAGTCAGTAAAATGTATTTTGCGAGTCGGTAATTTTTCTAATCGCATATTTCTATTCCATATTTATATTGTTTTCACCTATAAATATTTGCAAACCATCAGATAGAACTCATTTCACTAATTACGAGAAACATTACCTTTGTTACCAGAGACTCACGTTTTACTCGTGAATTAGGTGGCAACCCACGGTAGCTACTCTGTGCTGCGACACATGTCGACATATGTTCGATTGTCGATGGAACACACGCGTTTCCGGACTTGTCTCGTTTTTTTTAACCATAAATTAACTTACCGCCAACTAACTACATGCCACGTGCGGTACGGTTTCATAAAAACGTGAAACGCCTAATAAACCTATTTTACTAATTGAATTGTTTTCTCCTTTTCTTGCAAGATTTTTTCGTCATGTGAACGAAAGTGACGTACATATATTTGACGCTTGCGACTAAATCGGCGGTTTCGTCTTGTATGAATAATTAAATCGATACTAATATTAGAGAAGGTATATTTGTCTGTCTATTTCTTATCTCTTCAAAAATGTAAATTTTGAAAAAATCAGAAACAGTTTGAACGATATTCGTGAGTATACAGAGTGCTGAAATCGTAACATATCATAATTTTTTGAAGAACTCTATCCGGCTATTTTAGGACTAAAGTGTAATTTAAATATTATGGAAAGACGTATAACGGGCGTGATGCTGATATGAGCCTTTTCCGCGTTTTATTTATTGTAGACTGTAGATACATTGTAGAACCCCTTTGATCCCAGGGTTTCACAAATCACATTTTAGCAATCGCTGGTCTAAATTACGGCTGGACTTTCATTCAAGTCCTAAGAAAAAATCGGTTAACCGTCAAATTATTTTATTACCTGTATTGTATATCTTTATTTATCATGAATGGATACAATTGATATTAGATATCACAAATTACAAAATTACGTTAAAATTTATCGTAATTATTTGATATCTAATCTTAGAAAATCCATTGTTTGGGTTCCTTAGACAAATAAAAGAAAACCTGTTATTAGTGTTTTATCTTTTATTTACCGTTTAATTATTGATAATTTTATATTTTCAGAATTGTTGGGTAGAATGAGAAAATAAATCGTTGAAATGAGATTTGTAGTCATTTGTTTGCTTAAAAATATATTTACAGTACAACATGCACATGTTTTGCCAATTCTGTCTAATACTGATTTTAATTATAATTGGATTACTTAAGTATATACTTATACTTATATCATTTTATATTTCAAATTATAGATTCCACTTTTCTAATACATTTGCAAATCCTTAAATTAATATCCATAATGAATTATTAAATTCAAAATAACGGTATCTGTTATTGTTTTATTCACAACTAACGCCATCTATTGAGCTTTCCTAATAATTTTAATAATATTGTTTTCACCGATATTTGTATAGAAATTAAATACGTCTATACACCTAGTAGGCACCTACTATTAGTATCTTACTAATATTATAGACACGAAAGTTTGTGAGTATGGATGGATGGATGTTTGATACTCTTTCACGAAATCACGTTTTCAAAAACAACTGAATGGATTTTAATGAAATTTTACAATAATATAGCTTACATTAGAATGACACACGCTATTTATTCTAAATACGAAAGTTTATTTGTCTGTTTGTTACCTTTTCACGACTAAATGACCGAACAGATCTATATGAAATTTGACATGAAGCCAGATTTTATAATGAGGATGGTCTCTGGCTATATTTTATCAAAGAATACAGACGAAGCCACGGGTTACAGCTAGTCAACTATAAAGTTATACATTAAAAGCTTCAATTAATTATTGAATTGTGGGCCTTAATATTAAAATGATTAGTTTTGTACTTATCTAAAGCTTTATTGACATCGGACGGGATTTCATCTTTGCGTGGGCGGGTAAGTACCTGCACACTGTACCTATATTAAGTATTGTAATATTATATGTAATTAGATTTTTTTACTAAAGTACGTGGGTAACAAGCATACGGCCCATCCGATGGTAAACGGATACCGTAGGCTATGGACCCCTGATACAACAGAATGGCAAACAAGCTGATGGTAAGTGGTAACCGATGCCAATTAGTAAGAAGTAAGATTGTAAGAGTAAATTATGTAGAGTAAGAAAAAATTAACTGGAATCCTGGCAAAAATAAAGCCAGTTCTATAAACGAAGAAAGTTTATTTCTTTTTATAGGCACTTCGTTACGATGATAAAGATAGATACGAAGATCTTAATAAGACGTCGTAAAAAATACATTTATTAGTACCAAATTTATTAGGAATATTTCTAAAAATATAAAACAATTAGTGGGTACAATCAAACCATTTTGATATTATTTAACATATTAATACAAGTTTAGTTTGTTTCCTTTATTAAGTACTTAGAAAGAACTAATTATTAAAACTTTTGAGATTTAACAAATTTTTATGGATATTATCAAAACATACTACATGCCCCTATTCCTGAGATTGCGCTATTTTTTTTATGGATGATAATAGAATATTGCACCCTTCTGCGCTAACGGTTTATGCTGGCGGGGCACCAGTTGAGGATGATAAGATGAGCATGAAATCAAATCAATTAGCCTATCTTAGCAAATTGCAATTTACCACGATGGTTTCCAGGGACGCGAGGAGGTCCCGACATGGGACATTGCTGGCAATGGGGTTTTTAGTCCACATTACTAACAATTCGCTCCCCCCTGAGAAAGCGCTGTATGTTGACAAATGTCATTTGATAAATCCCTTACAGTCGGCAATTATATAGTTTTTCCTTATACTTTGTAATAATTCGGTTAGATATAATGTGGTTAATATGTTTACATAAAACTAAAAATATTTTTAACCGGGTTTAACACTTTAAAAATAGCTAATAACCGCAAAATCAGTACTGATAATAAAAAAAGCCATTGCATGTGCGAAAACCATACTAATGTAATACCTATGTGTTTTTCTATCTGTACGGATTCGGATGAACGTACCTATCTTAATGAAATTTAACATGTCAATAGAGTGTATCACGGGAAAAAACATCTTTAATTCAAGAAAAGCAGAAAAACGAAGTCATAAAGCCTACTTTAGCTAGCATAGTGGGAACAAAACAAAAGTATGAGACAAGAGCGAAATATCTATGTCCAGCAGTGGACCATTAATAGGATATTATGATGAAAAACAAAATTGTGTAGGTACTATTGCAGTTAATAAGTTCATTTCGTAAAAGTTCATTATACATATTTACATAAATTTAAAAGGTACATAAATAAAACTGATCTGACTATTCGGAATATTCAAAACATTAGCGTATAGAATATCATTTTACTATATAAATTACGAGTTCTGCATCAATAACTGACCCGAATTAAGCTATCTAACAAAAGCTATCAAAAGATCATTTACTTGACCCGATGTAACGATTACAAGTTTGATGCAAGTACCGTTGTATCTGTAATTAATACTCGCCCACCCGACGAAGCCACAGTCCGGATTTCAGAATGTCTGAACAGAATACCTATTTACCCTACAGTGCATCGCGCATCTAAATGCAAATCTAGTAATCTACAAATCCAAAATCAACAACATAGCAAAAGCAACGCGTTACAACGCGATACCTTACTCGCAAACGAAAACGAATCCAGCTATCGATTTAACTCCACACTGGGGTCGTAGAAAGAATTTCTTACAACAATGAGCCGGTGTAACAATAAATACCTTAATGATATCCCGAGATCGGAGAGAAAAGGCGTCCGACGACGGAGGCCAAAACCCGTCCCACTCTTTTCAAGAGAAATCCACTATAGCATATCGCAGAGGCAACATCACAATATGAAATGGCACAATCTCACACGTACACTATAATACGAATCCACAACACTGGTTTACTTATGGTACAAAAGATGTTTTTCGTAACACAACGCGGCGCAGTCACTCCGTAAAATAGATACGACGCGGACAACAGCCCGGCACCAACTGAACTGGTTTTGCTCGGGCGGTCGGTGTCAGTGTTGCCAGATGACTATCTCACTTTCACCCTAAAGAAGAAACTCACACCCGCTAATATACAGGTTTTGGAAAAAATCCACTAAATAAAGAATGTATGTCTAGTAATTACAATTTTATTATAAATTAATGTAGCTCTTGTTGTGTTTAGGATCGTAAGTCAAATAATTTTATATTTTTCATTGCACACCAGCATCCCTCTGTCTACTGTGCTCGTATATCTTTAACTACGTAAACCGCCATAATTTTAACTTTGTCTATAACTTCAATTTTATTTGTCGCGTACATTTGTTTTCCCCAAATTTCCCGTCATCGCTAGAAAATGTTCCTAAGTATGTGGAGAAAACGCTCGCAGTGGGCATCACTGGTTGGTGTGCGGGCGCGGGGAACGGTAGACGGGACGGGTGCGTTGCGTTTAGTTCGGTTTTTAATGAAAATATTTTGTGAATAATGCACGTGTTATGTTTGAGTGCATCGCCCTAGTGGCGGTCTCAGCATTTTTGATTGAAGTGTAATACCTACGATATGATAGTTAATAAAAGTTACTATCAAACAACACAACGATCACACTTGCCCACGGAGGCTCGAGACTAGATGTGGGGTCTTTGTCTCCCTTGCACTTTACATTCAAAAGTTTACTCGCTTGCATTCCTATCTGAAATCAAATTTACAATTGTATTTATAGCTACTTCTTTTTATTAGTCTTGATCTAATGTAATAACAATACAAAATTGTATCATTTGAAAAAGAATTGGTTAGGTTAGTACATGGAAATACATCACATGATGTAGGTATATACAGATTTAGATTGCAAAAGCAACTCAAGATTATCGTACGAAATGATATGTGTATGCAACGAAATAAAGAAAGACTATTTTTGCTATACCTATATATTGGTGTTAAACATATTTCCAATAAATAGAAAAGGTTTCCCTCTTAATATAATTATACCTTTAATTGTCCGATTTCTATAGGTAATATGTAATATTTATGAGTTTGGTGTTTAGGCAAAGGTACAAGTAAACCACACCTTTACAATTAGACGATTAATTTGACAAGCCAACAAAAAAGTATATAATATTTCAAACAACCTTACGGAACCCTTTTATTATCGATTCACCCTTAACCGTTATTTTTTTTAATTTGATATCAGATAATAGTATCATTTAATATATTGAATGATTAATGCTCTCTAAAACACATTGAATGCCTATAAATATTTATGACGAATATTATAATATGTTATCTTAAGAACTTAATGAAACAATAATATCATAGTGACGATTATACTCTTACCATTACTTTCCAACATATCTACGTAAAAATGTATATTATATTAAAAAAACTGGCATCTTGATGCTCTCAATAACAATTAAAAACTTCCTGATGCTCTATGGTTTAGATCAGAAACATTTTTTTAACAAAATTTTTATTGGAAACTTAAGAGTATTCTGGACCAAGGACTAACAATTACTTAAATGATAGAAGTGTATGGTATTAGTTGTTCGTGTATAGGGTTTTAATGTAATATTAGACATATACGTATGTCTGTACAAAAATGACAAAGATGCAAGGCAATAGTTGTTCATGCACGAGATGTTCATTTGTAGGAATGTGGCCAAAACAATCTAGTTAAGGGTTAGTAGGAGCATTCGATGACGGCCTCGGTGGTGTAAAGGTTTAGAACATTTACTTCCGATGGTCGCGGGTTAAATTTCAAGTATTTATTAGTGTTTTCTAGACATTTTATGTATGTATTAAAAAAAAAATCTATTTAGGTATATCTTGTACATTGTCTAGTACCTACCCATAATACAAGCTCTGCTTAACTTGGGACTAGATGGCGCTGCCTGAATTGTTCAGGATTATTATTGTTATTACTATCATCATCATCATCATCATCGCAGCCCGGAAGACGTCCACTGCTGGACATAGGCCTCCCCCAAAGTTATTACTATGAATAGCAGAAATTATAAATTACAAAAGACTATTTCTGTTATAAAATCTTATTTAGTTGATACAAAATTATTAGCTCTGCGCTGATGACTTGACCGTAACCGTAAATAATATGCGCGTATTTAGGCCATGATAAAACTGACTTCAATAAATTCAATAATTTCATTTTCTGATAATATGTACATAAAATATGATATCAAATTACTATTTAATCCATTACAATCAACCAAACAGATATACAAAATATTAAATAAATATCAGAAATATGAAATTGGTTTTTGTAGCAGCGAATATTCTTTTTCTTTATTTATTTAGGAGCTTATGATCACAATAGTCAGCAAGTTAGCTTTGTCTTAGCTTCTAAATTAATTACATACTTATATATTTTATTTTTATATTGTATCTAAACTACTCTAAAAACAATTATTAATTTAAAATTTTATCCACATTTTATACAGATAGATTTAATTAAGATTCCGATAAATACATTGAAAAATGCCTAAATTATGTTTGTTTAAATTTATATACATATTCTATTTATATATTGTTTATTGTATTTTAAAGAAATGATTTACATATGTTCATTAAAATTAACATTAACATAGGAGAACTTTTGTCAAATAGAGATCTCTTCCAGTCAATCCAATATAATAAATATACAATAATAGATATCGACAAGTAATAATACCCAGACGCAAATAACACACTATGTTAATACTGCCTAAAATATGCCCTCAATTATAGTTATCTTGTTAATGTCCTATATATGATTTAATATATATTATGAATTTTGCCCAATACCACTAGAGATTAGTTCGTGAAATCAATTCCACGTAATTTGATCTAATAACAAAAATAAAGTCAGATTAGATTAGACATCTAACTAACTTCAACAAACTTCTAGTCTAATAAATTACCTACGTATTAAGTTTGCTTAATTCTGTCAACAAACTGAAATAACATTACATTTTTGATGACGATAATGGAATAATGTGCGTTTAACTCGGGTACCAGTGGATGATTACAATAGTAATAAATAAATAAATAAGCCTGGACAATTAACGCAGCGCCATCTATTCCCACGGTAAGCAGAGCCTGTGTTATAAGCACTAGACAACTAATATAAATCATAGATTTTTTTTTGTAAATATATTGAAAACACCCAGACCGACACAACAACAAACAATCATACTCATGAATATAAATGATTGCACCGTGCGAGGAATAGCCTCTGCAGCCACCTCCATGCCTACAAAGTCTACTTGTAGGCATTGAGGTCTGGTCTGGTCTGGCTACCTTGAATATTCTCTAACTGACTTCTAACAATGATTAACCAGAGACACCCTTACCGATACAAACAGTGACAAATCTACACAACAACGATCACCAGGAGATAAATAACGTGTTCCCGCGGGAACTGAGGAGCTAGGTCAAGGGTTTCCTACTGATCTAATACATAGCTTCCCTATAGCATATTTCAAATGTATTATTAATATTGTGAAAAGGAGAGTAACGCTTACAAATATTGTAAACTAGGTGCTGCACGCGACTTCGTCTAATCTATATATATGGGAAATTGACTATATAGGGAAAACTGTGATTTTAATAAATTTATCTCGATTTATCGAATCATTTGGTATAAAAATAAATATTCGGTAACTCATAAATACATAATCCCGGTAAATATGAAAGTATAAAAACATAGGCAGAATTAAACTTAAAGAAAATACAGTAAAATTAGTAGCTTACGTCTGAAAATTTAGTTGCTGACACGTTTAGCTGATAAAATTAGTAAGAGTAGTCTAGAGCAGGCTTAACAGTGTGAGCTTTTATACATTTTCCAAAGCTTTTAGCCGTAAGTGTAGGTAACTTTTTCACTTGTTGCACTAATTCATATAGACATAGGTCTTATTATTTATGTCAAGATCAACAAACAAAAATAGTTCAGTAAGAAAGACGAGTTTATTTCTTTTTAATATTTGCTTAGGATGTCATTCACAACTAACCTTCACACACACACGCGACTTCGTATCTTCTAATTGAAACAAAATAAACTTTTAAGTGAATCCTACTCTAATACATTAGTTACTGTACCCAAATGGGTTAAGCCATTTCCGAGATTAGAGAGAAACAAACGCACAGACAAACAGACAAAAATCCTAAGAATCATTTGTGTCCTGTAACGTTGATAAAGTTCCTCATATATCTTCCATATACAGACAGCGGTCAGTAACATTTTTATTATATACTAGCTAACCCCGCAAACATTGTTTTGGCTTATAAATAAAAATTGCTATTAAAAAATAGGGGTTTAAGGTAGAAGGGTGAAAATTTAGGGTTTTTATACGATTCGGCATTACAAAATGCATACAATTTTATAATGCCGAGTCATATAATATATATAACTATATGTAGGGTTGGGTAAACCTTATCATTGAGGAGTATGAAAAATAGATGTTGCCCGATTCTCAGACCTACCCGATATGCATGTAGTTTTTATGTAATTGAAATGGCAAACAATCTGACGGCCCACCTGATGGTAAGAGATAATTGGCCATATCAGGTTATCATGTGGAGAGATGGATGGACTGTGTGAAAGATAATATGGTAAGAAAGGAAGTAAATAACGCGATGACTGCGAACAGGGATGAATGGAAGCGAAAAACATATTACGCCGACTATAGAGAAATAAGATGACATGCTTCTTTTACTGTAACTTTACAACCTAACTGTACAACGGGTGATACATATATGGCTATCTGTGATGCGATTGTGTGATTTATATAGAACGGTTACCATCGTGTGTACAGCATGTCATTCCAGCTACGTAATCAAAATAGCATATCATTCGCTTGACGTTAAAATGCAAGGTTGAAACATATATTTTTAATACGAAGGCCCTACTCAAATCCACTACATGGACTGTTAAAGTGCATTTGTATAGTAGTATTATATCAGATCTATGTACACGGTGGATAATGGATCTGAATACAAAATACCACGTA